AGTGCAACCAATTATGACTAGTAATAATCAGATGCATAGAGATTAAAGATACATGTGCAAACGTGTGTTAGCATTAAAAATGTAGAAAACAGCATATCTTAAAATGAAATGGAGATCTTCTTTAAAGGGTAAAAACTCATTCAATTTTATAAAAAAAAATGACTTTCATGAATGTAATATTCACATTTGGATATTACAAATATAGTTTAATATTCATCTTTGTGATACTTTCCAACTTTTTAAAATATTTTATTTATTATTTTTATTTTATGTTTATGAATGTATTGCCTCCATGTATATGAGTGTACCCATGTCGTGCAATGCGGCAGAAGTCAGAACAGGGCTTCAGATTTCCCTGGAACTGGAGTTAAGAACAGTTCGTAGCTGCCATGTGGATGCTGGGAATCGAACCCAGGTCCTCTGCAAGAGCAGTCAGTGCTCTTAACTACCAAGCCATCTCTCCAGCTCCACTTTCCACCTTTTTGAGGATAACAGTAGTTGGTTCTTTCTGGTATATTATAAGGATATTAAACAATTATTGTTGTTTCTAGAGCACATGGATCAGAGTGGGTTGTTGCATTACCTAGCTGTGGTGTGCAAGAAATATCATGGAAATAAATGGGAGTGTTTAACTGTTACAGGGCAAGGGACACATGGTGGCTGCCTTTTAATATGATCATTCAAATTTATTTCCATTTCTAGAAGTCATCAAGAATCGAGGGAGGTGCAGAGAAACACATAGCTCAGTGCTAGGAAATTAGCAATTCAGACTGACCAGTGATGGAGTGGAAGGCCTCCACTTGAGCGTACAAACATGACATGGGCTTACTCTGTACTCTGCTTAGCCCACTTCCTATGCTACCCCTCTCTGAAGTCTCATTTCTGTAAAGTATTTCCTCTCTCATTTGACTTTGAGTCCCTAGTACCATACATGGTAACTAGATGCTTGGTAACTGGATGGATAAAAGAACGGAAGTAAACAGTGGCCAGTTCTGGGTTTTCAGATAGTGAGGCATTTCCATGATAGAATCAAGACAGATCTATTGTATGTCCTTCATGATGCTGTGCATTCCTGCTTTGAGTAGCTAACTTTATGAGATAAATTGCTCTAAGTTAGATGAGAGCAGACAGGTTTTTAGTTGATTATAGCTAGAAAGTATTTTTCCTATAATGTGAAATTTTAGTCCTAGACATTGCTTGCATTTAAACAAAATAGTTGGTTACAGAGTGTTTAGAGACTCGTGGAATGATTACTTGACTGGTTGTTTTTGGAGAGTTTTAGTCAGGAATGAAGAAAAGTGTAATGTTCAAAGTTGAGAGGTTTAAGAAAAGAATAAAATAAATGAAAATGATGCTATTGAAGTTTTGAAAAGTTGACATTTTTTTCCCCAGTTGCCATAGATCTTGAGATGTACTGGGTTGAATGCCAGTAAGTAATATTCCCCTCTGTTATTATGTTTGATTTAGGCTGATTCAAAAGTTATTGAGAAGTGGATGGATGGTGTGAAAGACTTCTTGATGAAAGAGCAGGCTGCCCAAGGAGATGCCCTGGGTCTACGGAGGCAGCTTGACCAATGTGGGGTGAGTTCTACTCTCCAGCAAGCTTGCTGGGTTCAACACTTTCTTCTAGTTCTTTGTTATTTGATATTATTGAAATTGTAACAATAAGGCATATAAGTCTAGATAAAGTGTCTTTTATTATAATGCTTTTATTTTGGCTTTCTAGTTAAAAAGAAAGACAGACTGTTCACATATTTCTTGTTGGCTGTGGCTATAGAATTTGGGACACGAAAAGAGCAAATTTAGTTTGTCGAGAGCAGCTCTTCTGTTGCAATGGTGACCTTAATGTAATAATTATGGGTCGTACATTGATCTCATTGTACAGCATGATGAGCCTTTAAGAAAAGCATATTTAACGAATGAAATTTGCTTGTAATACTGCTTCAATTCATGCTCGATGAAACCATTAGGTTTTTCTAAATTAATTAAAAGTAGTATTTCCCACTGAGATTCAAGTGTTTCTAATCTAATTTAGCAGATGGCTGTATTAAGTGCCAGGTGAAATGAATTTCTTGAGGCGAGGTATTTCTTAAGTAGTTAAAAGTCCTGACTCCCAAGCAGTATGTCCTTATAGTATCTGCAGGGAACCAGAGGTAGATATGATTATGGGATCTGCTTATACAGGAGTAAACTCAGCATAGGCTTATTTTATGTATTCAGGCATTTGTTAATGAAATAGAAGCAATTGAATCATCTCTGAGAAACATGAAAGAAATAGAGACTGATCTTCAAAGCTGTCCAGTCACTGGAATCAAAACATGGGTGCAGACAAGAATAGTTGACTGCCAAGTTCAACTGGAGAAATTCAGCAAGGAGGTGAGCTTCTCAACTTCACCAGGAAACAAACACACTGACTGCTTCTGACCAAGAAAACCAAATTGAAAAGCACTGGTCTAGGACTAATTTCTGAAAATTCACTCGTACACAGACACGGACATAGATAGACACAGACAGACAGACAGGAATGAAAGCATACATACAGACACACGAATAGACCCAGACACACAAATATAGACACATACACACATATAGATGTAGACAGAGACACACAGATACATACAGACACAGATATACACACACAGACACATAACATACCTACTTACACAGAGACATAGACAGGCACAGACACATACATATCTACTCACACAGACAGAGAGACACACACACAGACAACATACACATTAAGTCCAACTGGACTCAAGACTTTACTTTTCTTTTTGTTTTAAGCCCTGCGTGACACTTGTCTCTAGAACATTTTGAGTGTTATTCCCTAATTATAGCTATTACTCTTTTATTCAGAGGATATTTATTGATCAGCTGTTGATTCATATTTTGCTGATTAGTGCCATCGTCAGGCCTCATTCTATGTACTGGGACATAGCAATGACCAGGGACACATTCTGTGAATGATGAATATTGTCAGTGGGAACAGGTGGGAGTTTAGAATAAGCAGATTATTTCTAATGGGGGTGGCCACAGAATGGCCTGCTGGGATTGGGACACTGGAATAAAGAACCGAGTAAAGGAAAGGATGGGCCTTGGCTGATTTGGGAAAGAACATGTTGTATAGGGAAATACATGTTTTAAAGCTCAGCAGAAGTGAGTGTGGTGTGTTCCTTGAAGAACCAGGACACTGCAGTTAGAATAGGATGAGGGGAGCTTGTGAACTGGAAAACAGGAGTGCTTGAAGTCAGGAGGTAGGCAGAAGGTGAAGGAGATGGGTCTTGGGGGTACGTGCTCTGGTTTGGATTCCAAGTATGATGTCAACCAGTTTTTGAAGCATAATTTAAAATTTTATTTTATTACTGTGTGCATGCAAGTGCATGTGTGTGTGTGTGTGTGTGTGTGTGTGTGTGTGTGTGTGCATGCGTGTGTGCTGGCACATATGCATGGTGTGCATGTGGAGATGAGAGGAAAACTTGTGAGTCAGTTCTGTTGTACCATCGTACCATTGTGTGGGTCCCAGGGATCAACCTCAGGTCATCAGGTTTGGTGGCAAGCACCTTTACCTGTTGAGCCATCTTGCCAGCCCAAGTTTGAGAGCTTTGAGCAGGGAACTGGCTATGATAAATCTTTTAAGGTCCCTCCGGCTTTTGTGTGGATGATTTTGCTTCAGGAAGTCAGGAATGAAAGCATAGAGAAGGCTTAGGAGGTCACTGCAGACTTGAAGAGAGGATGACCTGTTGTCTGGAGAGATTGGCTTGAGGGCATGAGAAAGACTAGGTTTAGACTGTCTTTTGAAAGAGATGGGGCTCGTGTAGAGAATGATGTGTGATGGGATGGCTCAGGAGTTTGGCCAAGCTTCTACTCTGTGTGGTTGGTGATGCTGTTTTTCAGAATGAACACTCAGGAGGTGCTTCTGATGGGAGAAAAATACTTCCTGCTCTGAGGGTTAAGGTCCAGATGGTTTTATCAATGGTGCTTTTTAAAAAATTTTTTATAGTGTATTTGGAGAAGAAAAACCAGTAATGGAAGTAAATAAAGCCAGGGGAATGTTGAATTTCAGGAGAGGGTGGAGAAAGGTTTTCAGTGTCCCTCCTGGACTGCTGAGGTTATCTTAACTGAAAATCAAGCTTTAACTTAAACAAGATGCTGTTTTTTTTCTTTTAAAAGACAGAGTCTTACTATAGAGCCCTGGCTGCCCTGGACCTGGAAATTGCTGTGTAGACCAGGCTGGCCTTGAGCTCACAGGGATCCATCTACTTCTGCGTCCTAAGTACTGGGATCAAAATTATGTACTACCACATTCCCTAAGATGGAGGATGTTAATGACCCTGAAAGGTGCATTCCCTGGCATGATAGAGAAGGAAGTCATGCTGGACAGTGGAGCAGCAGATGGAAAATGAGGAACAGGGACACGTGGGGCCGGCTTTGAAAGATTCTGCTTTTTCTGCCGGGAGTTTGGGTGGGTAAAGAAATAGGGCAGGACCTGGAGATAGGGGAGCTGAAGAAATTTTTTGTCATGTAATAATGAGAGGCAGTGCAGGATGCTTTATGTCATAGGGAAAACCTTCAGAAGGGGAAAGTAATTAATGCAGAAACTGAGTAAGTTAAGAAGTTAACCTATTACATGACGGGGGCTGAAGGCCACTGTGGGAATTCTGGGATGGGTATGAGACAGTTCCCTCACACCAGCTGAAGGGAGTCTGCCCTTGCTGATGATGAATCCACAGAGCAGGCTGTGTTTGATGACTTCAGTCTCCTTAGTGAAATAATGATGGTTCATATGCAGCTGAGAGAGTAACATGGTTGAAAACTGGAGAAAAATGAGAAATCATCCCTATTCCACAGATCATCTTGAAGAGCTCATTTTTCTTCATGTAATGCTTTTTGACTAAAGTGTATAAAGGAAAAACTTACTGGCATCAGTCAATATTTTGTTTGGTTCTTGTTTTGGTCCAACTTCTTCATTTTGAACATATTTAAATGTGAAGAAAAATTAAAATAATGGTAATTATTTAATTGTTTAAAATAAAGGGAAACACTCATATGCCTAGTCCAAGATTTGTCAATAGCTAATCTTTTATCACATCCTCTCTCTTTCTCTCTCTCTGAAGATGTACTTTTGACAGGAAATTGAAAATGTGACATATCACAGTAAAACTAAAATGCCATTATCAAACTTAAGGAAATAATCTTTTGGCAATATCATTTAATATCCTACCCACATTTGTATTTCTGTATTTCTTCTAAACTCTGATCCTATGAGTGGCTGTGGTTTTTGTGGAGGTAAACGACAGAATATGTCCTAAGTGGTAGTGAGGAGCAAGCAGCTCTCTCTCTCTCTCTCTCTCTCTCTCTCTCTCTCTCTCTCTCTCTCATCATTTCAGTTCGTCCAGTCAAGTTGACACCCAGAATTAGCCATCATAGGATCACAGGTGTGTACTGAATCCTGTCATTTTTATTTCTGTTTACATTCTTGATACAGCTGTACTTTCCACAGTTATACATTCATTGGATTTCTTTCTGCAACCCCTTGTGTGTGTTTTTTGTGGGGGTAAACAACAGAATATATCCTAGGTGGTAGTGAGGAGCAAGCAGCTCTCTCTCTCTCTCTCTCTCTCTCTCTCTCTCTCTCTCTCTCTCTCTCTCTCGGTAATGCTGAAAGAAAAGCCACCTGTCTATTTATAGGACTGTGATTCTGTCTAGAGAGAGGTAACTGGAAAGCCACTCACTGTCCCTAATCACACCCCTATGAGTGCTGTCCTTTTCCTGTTCTGGCCTCTGGTTACTGTCAGCTCAGCAGCTGAGCTACTCTGGTGAGGTGGCCACCACTGTGATGTGTAATTTGAGCAGGAGGTTGGATATGTCAAGGAAAGGTTGGAGTATGCCTGTGCAACAGGATCTTCTTTCACAGTGAGTTAGTTTGTGGTTAGGGAGAGGAACTCTGAAAATATTTCCAGGCTTCTCTGGAGTACTTACTTAAGTTATTGAACCTGATTTAGACAAATAGCTACTTTCAAATGTAACTTCTACTTTCTAAGCAAAAAAAATTATGGCAGTGCTTTATGAAAATCTTTATTTTTTATAAAATTGTTTTTATTTTATATGTATGAGTTTTTTACCTGAATGTATGTATGTATACCATGTGCATGTAGTGCCTGTGGAGGACAGAGAAGGGCATCAGATCCCCTAGAACTGGAGTTGCAGACAGTTGTGAGCTGTCATGTGGGTGCTCTGGACTGAACCTGGGTTCCCTGCAAGAGCAGCCAGTGCTCTTATCTGCTGAGCCATCTCTCTCGCATATGAATATCTTGTATAATAGTTCTTTCCATCCACTTTTAAAAAAGTGCAACCTTAATGGTAACTCTGTTATAATAGGGGAAAAATGGACATTTTCATTGCTCCCTGTTTTTCTTTTTAAAATAAGTAGTGTTGTGATGTATATGCTTTTATTACTACAGGTTTGGTTCCTACATCTGGAATTAAGTTTGTTAGAAAAAGCTGGAACTGAGCTAGAAGGCTCCTTTCTGCTGACTAGCTTTCATAATGTTGGAAGGTGCTATGCAGGCTCTTGTGGGAGAAAAGGCTCAATAATTTCATACAGCTGTGAACCCTATGGACTGTATTTTCAAAATGATAATAAATATTTTTAGATTAGAGTCCTATCAAAAATGTTGTATGGAATTCTTTATATTTTCATTATTACTTATATTCTTTGCCATCAGCACAAGATGAATAAAAAGTTTTACTTGACAATTAAAATAGAAGACTCTTTGTGGAAATTTACCACAGTGTCTTTAAATGTTATAAAGTAGAACTTGACGTTTGACTTATTAACATTTATTTGCTGGGGGGGAATGGCTTTTCCTTTCTAGATTGCTATTCAAAAGAGTAGGTTGTCTGATAGTCAGGAAAAAGCTGTGAACTTGAAGAAGGACTTGGCTGAGATGCAGGAGTGGATGGCCCAGGCAGAAGAGGAATACCTGGAGAGGGACTTCGAGTATAAGTCTCCCGAAGAACTGGAGAATGCTGTGGAAGAAATGAAGGTGAGGTGGTACCCTAGCTCTGGCGCCTCCCCACCCCTTTATGTCAGTCCGTCCATTGCCTACCTTACTGTTAAGAACCATATGTACACATCGTCTTTCATATTATTTATTTTTTTAAATTTTATGTGTATGAGTGTATTGCCTGCATATTAAGGGTACCCATGTCATGCAATGCCTGCAGAGGCCAGAAGAGGGCATCAGATCCTTTAGAATTGGAGATACGGATGGTTGTTAGCCATCATGTGGGTGCTGGGAATCGAACCCAGCTCCCCTGGTTCCTCTTAACCCCTGCGTCTCTCCAGCCCCTATAATAGGATTTTTAAATTAAAAACAACATCAGAGGATTAACTGTGGTAATTTTAGTTGGAAGGCAAGCTAACACAAGTTCTCTGGTTCACCTTGATCCTGAAGTTGATTCTATGAAGTCCCTGGACACATTCTCTTAGTTTGGAATCTTGTGGAGCCATAGAGAATGGCTCAGAACTTCTGGTCGTTGGCGTGCAGAGGAACTGTGAATTTTCTCTTTATTGTGGTAAATATACATCCTGTAAAATTTGCCATTTTAGCACTTTCTAAGCGTATACATAAATTCCAGTTGTATCCGTTATATTCATGATGTTGTGCAATTTCTACCACTATTTCCAGAGGTTTCCAGGAAGAATTATTTTGGGTAAGGAAGGAGGAGGACAGACTCACAGCTTGCTTAGGCGCTATTATGATTTCAGTAGGTTTAGTTCCAGTCAGTATCTAGGGCACAGAACATCCTTAGAGCAGGAGACAGGGCCGCGGAAAGATGGTAGATGAGGGCAGGTTGGATTCACGGGGCATGTAGCTCCAGAAAATATGTATTCCTGTGTCAATAGTCTTATTTGTAGCATGAAAGAACTGGGCCTCAATCCCATGCCACTTCAGCTGCCCTTCAAGCCAGAGGAGATAGTGTCTTAAAGCCCCTCCCATCCTTTTTTCCTTCTACATTAAGCAACACAGACTTGAGCTACCCCACAGTTAACTTGCTTAAGAGTCTAGCTCAATCACAATTTTCTGTGCAGGTATTTTTTAAAAAAAAGGTGGATTGGTAGGACATTCATATACATTATCTTGAGCCAGTCAATCTGAACAGATAGTTATCGAAGTTGTAACACTGTCCCTGAGGCATTTTCTAATGTAGCTCTTTTTGAAAAAAATTCTTTTTTTAGCATAGGAAGTATTCTAAAGGTAATCTACCATTTAAGATGATCTGACTTCATTTACTGTTACATGATTGGCATTATAGTTGCATGCTGTTTTTGAAAGTCATTGTAGTTGGGAGTTGTGAAAAATGAGATTAAAATCCTTGATTGGGCAACACTCTTTATTTTTATTCTTCAAAACAGCCATTAGGAATTTAAAAGGCACTACACTTAATTACTTTTCCCTCTCCCCAGGGGACCTGAAAGTCATTAAGCAGTAAAGAAAGCTGAAAGGGAAAGTAAGAGAGTTTCAGGTAGATTTTCCTACACCTGAGATTATGGCCTGGAGTACCAAGAGAGAGCTGGGAAGCAGCCATTTCTAAAGGCCAGGTTTTGTAACTTTATCATCTTTAAGAAGAAAAGAAATGTTTAAAAGATTTGTGGGACATTTTAAAGGTCCTTCTGTCATGGTGCTTCTCGTTTTGTGGGGGATTTATATATGTATTTCATTTTAATATACATATTTTAATATATATATATTCATTTCAAACCTCCTGTGGCCATTTAAAATGAACTTACTTCACTTCTTATCCTGGACCCAGAATTTGAAAATATTTCATGTCAGTAAACACTATTTAAGGTAACTTGGATGTGAACACTGGTATTATTAAATGAAAATGTTCCTAGGGATTGTACGTCCACATTGAGATCTAGAGTAATGGAATTTAATTTTTTGAATTCTTATTTCAAAAACACTCAGGCTAGTGGTTACCTGAATATTTTTCTAGTCTAGGGGTTGGAATCATTTGGATGTTTTAAGCTTGGTTTAGTTTTCCGTTTTTTTGAAGAAAGATGTTTACAGAGAGCATGTTTCACGTTCCTCTTCTCTTGGGACAGAGGGCGAAAGAGGATGTGTTGCAGAAGGAGGTGAGGGTGAAGATTCTCAAGGACAGCATCAAGTTGCTGGCTGCCAAGGTGCCCTCTGGTGGCCAGGAGTTGACGTCGGAGCTCAATGTGGTGCTGGAGAGCTATCAGCTTCTCTGTAACAGAATTCGAGGAAAGTGCCACACACTAGAGGTATGGTATTTTTACTAGTGATATAATTCTGAGATCCAAGCTCCGAAATGTACAGGCGTTTCCATGTCTTGGGGCGGAAAACTCCATTGTCTTTTCAAATAGTGGATCGTGAAGGTAATTTTTATGGAATAGATTCTATTATATAGACTAGAAAGATATTTTTTAAAGGAGACCAAGCTTTGTCTCCATTTATCAGAAGGTTCTTTAGCAAGTAATTTAACATCTTCAAACTTTAATTTTTTTATATGTGTACCAGTGCTTTGAGATTACAAATGAGCTGCAAGGTCTTCTTCATTCTCCGGATTCCAGACCATCTTATAAGGGTCTCTCTTAGTTTGTTTTACCTGGTTGATTACAAATATATGAACTAATGTTTTTATTTTGAGTAGTGTCCTAAAGTTTAGAGTCTACATGAGGGAAAAAGAACTTATATATGTCGATATTTTGCTGCATTTTAGGTGAAATATCACTTTTCCCTTTAACCATTAAATTTAAGATGTAGATTATTCTGAAATTATTTTAATAAAATGGTACTTGTTTTCATATGTCCTTTTTTGTTGTTATTGTTATTTTAGGCATGGTCTGCCTATAACCCCAGCTGGCCTAGAGCTTGCTGTGTAGACCAGGCTGGTCTTGATCTCACAGACACCTGACTGCACTTCTCAAGTGCTTGCAATAAGGATGTGAGCCACTATGCCTGGCTTTTACATAACCTTTTTTTTTTTTTTTTTAATAGCTTGTTGAAAGATTTAAGTAACATTTCAAAGTATTATAATTTAAATCAAACTCACCCTAAAACAAGTGATTATATATTATGGCGAATCCTTAAATAATAGTGGTGACAGGCATATTTGAACTAATCTTGCTCATCTCTTGGTTATTATCTATCACCTATCTGTTATTTATCTGTCTTATTTATTTTTATTTTATTTTATGTGTATGAGTATTTGTCTGCATGAATGTAAGTATACCATGTGCATGTAGTACATACAGAGGCCAGAAGAAGGCATCAAATTCCCTGGAACTGGATTTACAGATGGTTGTGAGCCACCATATGGGGGCTGGGAACCAGACCTGGGTCCTTTGCAAGAGCAACAGGCATGCTTAACAGCCAAGCCATCTCTCCATCCCCTACTTATTTATTATTTTTGGGACAGGGTCTTCCTATGGAGCCCTGGCTAGCCTGGAACTCCTTATGTAGACCATTCTGGCCTTAAAACTTGGCACGATCCTTCTGCCTCTGCCTCCTGAATGCTGGAATTACAGGTGTGCAATACCATGCCCAGGTCTTACCTATTCGTACTGAGATAAATATGCAAACTGAGACCAGTTAGTAAGAAAGCCACTTGATTAGGGATCAGTCTGCCTCCTGGGAGTGATTCTCTGTCATCCGTTTTTCCCTGTGAAAAAGGTGCTGTGGTCTGCTGTGGTCTGCTTTTTCCCTGTGGGAATGCCGGGAGACTACAGACTTCTTTTTCCTTTCATTCTGAGTCAAAAGTCAGAAAATTGTGGCAGAGGTCTCAAATCTAAATGGTTAAGGGTGGCTTCTATATTTCTAAAGGGTTGAAAAGCACCCTTTATACCTACCCACCCACACCATAAAAGCATCTGTGACAATGCCTGGATGTTGACTCTAAAGCCTAAATTCTTTCTTTCTGGCTCATATCTGCAGAGCTATATGGGGCACAGATGAGAATGTGTCCAACTTAGTCAGGAGATCCAAAAGAGGACAGACGTGAGGCTCTGTGCTGAGTTCTTTCTCCTAACTCTGCCATTCAGATGAGTTCCTCCTACAGAACATGGGGACATAAAGTCCTAAATGCATACTTTCTAGCTTCTCCCAGCTCAGAACTCTTGGTAGTGAGGCGAGCATGTAGTGGATGTTGAACAACATGGCTCTTGTTGTGTGTGTGGTAAAATGGGGCTCTCTTCTTTCTTTTTAAATACCTGCTGTTTTATTTTTATTTTATGTGTATGAGTGTTCTGCCTGCACCCATGCATTGCAAGACTGGCAGAGGCCAGAAGAGGGCATCAGATGTCCCTCAGACTGGACTTTAGAATGGTTGTTAGTTGCTATGTGGGTGCTAGGAACTGAACCTGGGTCCTCTGGAAGAGCAGCCAGTGCACTTAACCACCGAACCATCTCTCTAGCTCCGGGGCTCTCTTCTTGTATAGATTTGTTCTTGTTAATTTTGAAGAAAAGTTGAGCAAACTACACAGAAATCTGCTTCCATCAGATAGTCCTGAATTGGAATTGGGTGTGTCCCAGGAGATTTAAATTTCTTAGGAAATTAAGAAAAACTATTTATTATTGTTATTTTATGTATATGACTATATTACCTGCATGTGTGTTAGTGTACCCGTGCCATGCAGTGCCTGAGGAGGTCAGAAGAGGTCGTTGGATTCCCCTGAAACTGGAGTTACAGACTATTGTTAGCTGCCATGTGAGTGCTGGGACTCAACCTGGGTCCTCTGCAAAAACAGCCAGTGCTCTTAGCAGCTGAGCCCCCTAGGAAAGTATTTTAAAATATTATCATCATGAATGATGTTTACCTTCTGTTTTTCTTTTTTTTTATGGTTGTACTGGGGATTGAACCCAGGGTCTCCATGTGTCAGGCAAGTGCTGTAACCATTGAACTAAAACCCCTACCTACCACTGAAAACAATGTCATAATGTTTCTATCCTGTTTATTTTCCTATTCATTATTCAGGTTTGTTTTTGACATTCAAGCAGGTTTTTGTAATTTATTTATTGGAAATGGAGCCTCTCTTCCATTTCTCTTTATCCTCTACCTTACTTGTTCTAGCTTATTAATCCAGTTTTATTTCATTTACTTGATATTTTCTCTAGCTTCACCAGTGTTGAAATTCCCACATTACTCACAAGTAATGGAGTTATTGATTGAAGAGACAACATATGAAGTGACTTCTTGGGCCGTTCTAATTCTTCCTTCATATTCTTAGGAAGTCTGGTCTTGTTGGATTGAACTGCTTCACTATTTGGATCTTGAAACCACCTGGCTGAACATGTTGGAGGAGCGTGTGAAGAGTACAGAGGCCCTGCCAGAGAGAACAGATGCTGTCAACGAAGCCCTGGAGGTTCGAACCCGGGCTCCAAGTTCCATTTTTTGTTGTTGTCGTTGTTGTTGTTGTCATAAGGACAGTTGTGTTAGGATGAGAAACAGTGCTTTGTAGACAGTGTTCCCTCTTCCTCTGTGCTTTTCAATGTAACGAATTTGTCTTTAGTGTCTTGGAGTACATACACAATGTATATGTATATACTATGTAGTACGTAGTAGATGATTGGGGACTCATTTATTTTTCATTAATTAATTAATTAATTAATTAATTAATGAGAGTTCATGCCATGGGGTGTGTGTGTGGAGATCAGAGGACAACTTGTAGAAGTTATTTCTCTTTTGCCATCCATGTGGATCCCAGGAATCGAACTCTGGTCTTCAGGTTTTGTGGCAAGCTCTGTTACCTGCTGAGCCATCTCACTGGACCCCAGGAGCCCTTTTCAGAATTAGGTTTGTGTGGCAGAGGCTATGCGAGTTCCTTTTAGACATAGTATGCTCTCTTCTAGCGGGGTTCTAGTTTATTTCACCAGTCCCTGGATAAGCGCTGCATGTTAGTTCCTAGGGCAGTGCTCTCTTGTTTCTTCCTAGTAACAAAGCATATCATCAACCGTACTTGCTGTGCCTTCTATCGTCTTCAGGTGTAAAAGGCTAAGGCAGGGTGGTGTGTGCCGTACGTAGTGAGGGAAGGGGCTCCCCAGCTGGATGGCGAGTCTGGGCTTTAACCTCCTGAGGCCAAGAATTGCCCCTCAAGCTTCTTTGTTCTGAAGTTTGTAGCCTATGAATGCATGTGATAACTTACTAAATGTTTATGAAAGGAGTTACAGTGTAACCAGGGTAGGTTTGCTTAGGAAAAAGGAGGAGATGGGTAGATGTGCTTTTGAAAAGACAGCAGGGCAGTGTGGAGATTGAATGCCTGAATGGAAGATCAGAAATAAGTGAACTATGGGAACCTAGATTCCAGGAGACAGATGCTCTCCCACTGAAAAATGGTCATTTCTCAAAGTGCTCTCACAGCTGTGCCATCCCTACATCTTAGTTCTTTTTATTGACTGGGTGCATGCAGACAAATTCAACTCTCTGTGCTCAGTTTTGTCATCTGCAAAATGGAGTAATATTTAGCCCATATGGTTAATTAGATTTATGTATATGAGTATATACATCAAATTTTAGTGTTCTGTGTATGTTTCAGAAAAATGCATACCTAATTTTGGAACTATAGTTAATAACATTTGAGATGATTTTATTTGTACCATACTGTTCTTTCAAGTTTTGTATCTTACAATGAGAATTTTTCATATAATTAATAATTATAGAAATTATTTTTGTGGGATTCTATCATCATTCTTGGTGAGTTTCTTTTAGTTTTATGAATCTGTTAATGCTGTGATGGATAATTCTGTGAATTAGTCATTTAGCTAACTTCTGATATTTATTAGATACATTTCTAGCAAATAAAATGCCATTTTATAGATATTGATATATTTTGACAGAAAATGGATTAAATTTTTTTCTGTCCCCCGCTGCAGTCTCTGGAATCTGTTTTGCGTCACCCAGCAGATAATCGCACTCAGATTCGGGAACTTGGACAGACTCTGATTGATGGTGGGATCCTGGATGACATAATCAGTGAGAAACTGGAGGCTTTTAATAGCCGCTTTGAGGACCTGAGTCACTTGGTGAGAATCAGGGGTGGGAGGTATGACGAGGTAGTTACCACAGGGAGATGACTACAAGCTCCATCTCAGATACTGGTTACCCTTGGTAACATCCAAAACTGGTTCCTATGAGTTAATGCTTTGGTGGGGGGGTTAAAGTAGGTAGTCAGCCTTAATGGTAGTGTGAGCGCTTATAAATGCTGAGTAGGAAAGAAAAGACCTAATATTTATAGATGAAAAACTTGATGATTAAAAAATCTTGTCAGGTAGAGGATATATCTCAGTGATAGAGCACTTACCTAGCATGTACAAGGCTCTGGATTCAGTTGCCAGTATCACCAAAAAAAGGTTGTCTTTGAGATTATTTGTATTTGTGAACTATGTAATCTCCCATAAGAATCATATTATGGTTTTATATAAGAATAGTAACTCCTGTTATCCTAGGGAATACTGCATCAGAATTTGACATAAACTATTTTGAAAGCTATATTGCTTGGCTCCTATCTCTGTTGTATCTCAATATATGTGTTCACTGTTCAGATCAGTAATAAGGGAGAGACAGTGTTCTTTTGTAAGAAGGCTGAGTAGAGATTAGATAGCTCAAATACATTATTAAACAACTGTTGATATTCAAACTATACGTAGCATTAAGCTTAATGCAGTATTTTTAATACATTCATCTGAAGATGTTCTCAAATTTAGAAAAAAGAAGAGGTTTATCTCTTTAGTCTCTTGATAGGCATTCTTGTTATATTTTATATTTTTACTGATAGGCATTGGTGATTCTTAAAATTGCCCTAAATTACAAATTTTTATTCTCTGTCTCATATGTCCTATGGGAGATGTTTTCATATTTGTGTTTTGTCATTTTATATATTAATAGAAAGAAGTAACAATGAGTGATTCAGCTATAGTACACAAAGGGTACTAGAAGAGTGCGTTATTATTTATTTATAAGGAAAGCTAAAGTCTTGAACCAGTGCTTTATTACAATATTCATGGCCAGAAAGTATATTCAGCTATTTATATTTGTGCTGAGCAATTACTGAGGAAATGGCTCTCCTGTGCAGGCGGAGAGCAAACAGATTTCTCTGGAAAAGCAACTCCAGGCCCTGCGTGAAGCCGACCACATGCTCCAGGTGCTACAGGAGAGCCTGGGGGAGCTCGATAAACAGCTCACCACGTATCTGACTGACAGGGTTGACGCGTTCCAACTGCCACAGGAAGCTCAGGTATTGTCTCAAAGATGAGAGACTCGAGTTCTGAGGTAGAACATGTGTGGTCTCCTCTTCAGCTGCCAGAGCCAAGAGAAAGACGGCTACTCTTTATGGGCAATCCTTGGCTCTGGACTGCACTTGTTCCTGTGTGTCTTTGACACATTTTCAACATTTGAAAATGCCAGCTTTTGGGGCTGGAGAGATGGCTCAGCGGCTAAGAACACTGGCTGTTCTTGCAGACGATCCGGGTTTGAATCCCAGCACCCACATGGCAGCTAACAACTGTCCGTAACTCCAGTTCCAGGGGATCTGACAGCCTCTTCTGTCCTCCACGGGCATTGCATGACATGTGTGCATAGTGCACTTACCTACATGCAGGCAATACACGCATATACATAAAATAAAAATAAATAAAATATTAAAAAAAAGAAAATACCAGCTTTCTTAGCTATAAAATTTGAACAATTTCTTTTGTGTAAATCAAATGCATACATTAGAAATGACAAATCAAAGACCTTAGCTTGTGCACAACACACAGTAATAACAGGTGTCAGTCTGTTATTAGTATGCATGATGCAGCTATATCAAACTTCTGTGTTGTTTCTTTATGTACTTTGTTGTTGTTCTTTAAAGACAGGGTCTTGTACTGTATATAGCCCAGGCGTGCCTGGATCTTACTATGTAGTTCAGGCTGGCCTTGAACTTGCAGCAAATCTACCTGCTTCAGCCTCCCACATGCTGGTTTTGCACGCATGAGCCACTGCACATGGTTTATTTGCGTACTTTTAAAAACACCTCATCCCTTGCTTGTTTTCATCCTCTTGGTAGAAAATCCAAGCAGAGATCTCGGCCCATGAGCTCACTCTAGAGGAGCTGAGAAGGAATCTCCGTTCCCAGCCCCCAACCTCCCCAGAGGGCAGGACGACCAGAGGAGGAAGTCAGATGGATGCACTGCAGGTAAAGACTAGGTGCTTTCTTAGCATTTTTTACATAGCGGACATGAAAAAGAAAAGGAGTAAGAGTTTATTACTTGGATGCTTTTGTTTTGTGCCATGATGGAGATCATGGGGTGGGCGTGCTGTATGTAAAGGCTCTGTCTGTGTCAGCAGAAGCAGATTGTTATCTGGTTAATGAAATGTTGAGTTTTTAATAAGATTTATTTTTAGGTTGTATGTATGTATGTATGTATGTATGTATGTATTTGTATGTGTATGCCAAGTAAGTGAAGCTGCTCACAGAGGCCAGCTGAGGGTATCAGATCCCCAGAAGCTGGCATTAGGGGCAGTTGTGAACAGTCCTATGTAGGTGCAGGGAGCTGAACTTGGGTCCTCTGGAAGAGCAGTGAATTCTCTTAACCATTGAACCATCTCTCCAGCCCCCAAGTAGTGAATTTTAAGGGTTGGGTTGAGAAGAGAGTGAGCTGGTCTAGCAGTTGGCTTTATGTAGACTGTACTTTGACTGTGGAATGTCCTGAGGAGTGATGAGGACATAACTTCACATAGTTCCCATGGGTTTGGACTTTCTGAACTTGTGATGATGGACATTTGAGTTCTAGGTTGTAGGTTCCTGAACTAGAGGGCTTTTTTTTTAAACACGTGAGAAAATTAATGACATTTTAAAAAAGGTTTCTTTTATTTTTAATTATGTGTACATATATGTGCTTGTGTGTGTATGTGCACATGTTCGCAGGTGCCCATAGAGTCCAGAAGTGTTGAAACCCTTTGAAGCTGGAGTTATAAGTAGTTGTGAGTTATTTAATGTGGCTGCTGGGAACTGAACTTGGATTTTCTGGAAGAGCAGTACATGTTCTTAACCACTGAGCCATCTCTCCAGCTCCATTAATAAAGTTTTAATTCCAAAGAAGCCCGCTGTATCCAGATTTGTATTTTTGAGACTGAGATGCTGGGCAATGCTACCCTGGCAGTTCCCTTACATGATCAGAGACTTCCCTAATTCCCTTAGGTTTTCCTCTTCCTGTGCCCTGTCTTCATGACTACTCTGTTTCATCGTTCTTTTTAGTAGCATGTGAGATTACAAGTTGCTTATTCTCATTCTGCAAACAGAGGAAACTTCGAGAGGTATCCACAAAATTCCAGCTGTTTCAGAAGCCTGCAAATTTCGAGCAGCGCATGCTTGACTGCAAACGTGTCCTGGATGGAGTGAAAGCTGAGCTGCATGTCCTGGATGTGAAGGATGTTGAGCCTGAAGTCATCCAGACCCACTTGGACAAGTGCATGGTGAGGCTGTTGGGCAGCGCACGTGACTAGTGTGTTTCCTGGCGGCTCTTATGATTTAGTCTAGAGCTTCTGTTCATAGCTGTTAGTTCAGGGTTTGCTATGTGCAGGGATTGGTGATGGAGAACATGTAAAAATAAGAAATGTAGTCCTCCTGAGGAAATTAGAAGACATAAGAGAAATAAGAGGAAGTAAAACCAATGATTTCAGTCTACACAAGTAAGGGAATGGGATTAAGCATATAAACAGCGTTATTAACTAATAAAGAAGGGGCTGGAGAAATGGCTCAGCTGTTAAGAACACTGACTTTTCTTGCAGAAGATCCGGGTTTGAATCTCAGCACCCACATGGCAGCTAACAACTGTCCATAACTCCAGTCCCAGGGATCCAACAGCCTCTTCTGTCCTCCGTGGGCATTGCACGACACAGGTGTACTTACCTACATGCAGGCAATACAGGCATACACATAAAATAAAAATAAATAAATAAAAATATTTAAAAAATAAAGAAGCATCAGAATCACCACCTGAAGGTGAAAAGGCCTCATGGAGATGGAACTGATAAAGCCATGTCTTCAACAATAATTTTGAAGTCACTAAAAGTATCATACCTAGGTATCCCTATGAGTTCTAGGCCAGCCTGGTCTATGTAGTGAGTTCTGGGCTAGCCAGGACTATATAATGAGACCCTGTCACACATACACACACACAAACAATAAACAGACAAAGAGAAGTACCATAGTTACAGTGGGTTATCAGGAATAGTGAAGAAAAAAAATATTCTTTGCTAGGAAAATAAAGCTTGAATCAGAATTTAAACCTAAGACAAGAAAAGAAGAAATGATATATAAGGCCTTATTACTATTTCATTCTTTTAAAAAATATTTTTATTGATTCTTTGAGAATTTCATACAGTGTATTTGATCATATTCAAAGCCCCTCCCCCCATCTCACCCTACCCTTCTACCCCCCAATTTCCTGTTTTGTATTATAATTTTTCTTTTTTTTTTTTTTAAAGGCCTATTGAGTCTAATTTGTGTTCCCTAAATGTCCTTGGGTGTGTGTGGGTCCAGTCTCCTCGAGTCTGTCAACCTGCCCTGCATCACAGCCTTAAAGAACACTGACTCTCTCTCTTCCAGCATCTATCAATTGCTAACGATCCTTAGCTAGGACTGGGACTTCTGGCTGACCTCCTGACCCTTGCTTGGTTTTGTCTCTCTGGACTTGCACAGGTCTTACACATGCTGTCCCCAAGCACTGTGTGTTCATAGGACAGTTGCACACATGAACCATTTCATTTTTACATTATCATTCAGTTGAATAGAAAATTTAAAAGAATGTGGGTAGGAGGATGTGGTCTTACCTTTGAGAGAAGTCTGGGAAAGAGATATTTATGCTTTTGGAAACTGCAGTCTCCACACGTCTACTTCTTACATGGGTGGAAGAGCTCACAGGAAACATTTGAATCACATGTGCATATATTGTAAGCCTTGATTTTCTTATTGGGATGAACTGGCAGAGAAAACCATCACTACCCTTGACCTCACAGAAGCTGGCTCCGTGTTCCATGATGTGGCAGTGTGAGTAGGATGCTGATGTGCGGACAAGCTGCCTCCACAGGGTTTGGGGGTTTAAGGTGACAGAGACGAAGACAGCTCTGAATTTGACCCAGTGAACTCCAATTTCGTAGAATTATATTCATCTTGATACCTTAGGGTTTTACATCTATTTTCAATATGTAAATAATACTCTACAACAGTAGAGTTGCTATTTCAGAAAAATAGAAGTAGATGTTAGCAATTCCACATTCCATCAGGCCTAGGCTACCTGGGCCTGCCCTTTTCTAGCCATGGTGTTCTACTTTTTTAAAAGATGTATTTATTTATTATTTTTTATGTGTATGCTTATTTTGCCTACATGTATGTAGGTGCACCATTGTGTGTGCCTGGTGTCTTTGGAGGTGAGGAAGAGGGTGTTGGATTCCCTGGAACTGGAGTTACATTTGGTTGTGAGCTACCATGTGAATTCTGGGAAATACACTCAGGTCCTCTGCAAGAGCAGCAAGTGCTATTAACCATGGAGCCAGTTGAACCAATGGCTTTGCACATAGTAAGCATGTGCTTTACCACTTAGCTGGACCACGAGCCCCAAAACATAACTATACAAAAAAAATTCCAGCTTTAACCCTAACATATCCTCCATTCAAGAAGAAATATTTATGGTATATTATCAAGGATTTCCACCACATTTAATATACGTCTTAGTTATTTTAAACAAATACACTCTATTAATGTTCTTAAGTGATTTGAAGAAGTATTGCAACCTCAATTTCATTTGACTCAGCCTTCAAGCCACATTGGAAAAAGATGATGCTTTTTGATCTCCACAGCTGAGTATTTGCTTTCCAAATATGTAAAAGATATGCTCCAGGATGATTCTAGTTGATTGCTTTTTAAAAATTATTGCAATGTGAAATCTGTCCCCCCCCCTTTTTTTTTAAGAAACTGTACAAAACTTTGAGTGAAGTCAAACTTGAGGTTGAGACTGTCATCAAAACGGGAAGGCACATTGTCCAGAAGCAGCAAACGGACAACCCGAAGGGAATGGATGAGCAGCTGACATCCCTCAAGGTTCTCTACAATGACCTGGGTGCACAGGTGTGGAGGACAGCACCATGTTCTCTCTCTCTCTCTCTCTCTCTCTCTCTCTCTCTCTCTCATTTTTAGTTTCCTTAAATGTGTGTTACTAATATGATGACTAAAAGTCATATAGAAATGTATTTTTAATATTTAATCTAGAACAATATTTCTATTTTCCATGGCTAGTGACTTTTCACAAATTATTCTAAGGAAACTCTACAAAGTTATTGACTCTGTACAAACTCAGCATATTGGTCTTTGGATTTCTGAGAAGTGTTAGCATATCCTGACTTAAGTGGTAGGAAGTTCTTATTAATCTACTAAGACTTTAAAATTCTCACTGGACATTTTAGTGAATGCATGTGAGAATTGTTAGGCCATGTTCTGTGAGGGACAGACTGAAAGGATCCAACAGGAAAATAGTTTTCTGTCTTTCGACATTTTTTCCTGAAATTCAGAAGCCAGAAAACATGTGGAAGTGAAAATTTCTGCCACTATTGAAAAACTGTTGGTTGGTGTTTTAGATCCTTCTTCCTTGCTTAAACATCAGACTCAGTCATGAGTGAGGAAAGCTTTGGGTAGGAAGTGCTGATCTGAAGGGTGGGTCAGAGTAACTTTGGTGAAAGTAGGGGAGGGGTTTGGAGGCTTATGAAGCACTATGTGCAAAGGCCCTGTGGCAGGAGAAAGTGGAGAGGGAGAGAGAATGAACTCTGTGTGTGTGTGTGTGTATGTGTGTGTGTGTCTAGGCCAGTGGAGGATGTTGGGTGTTCTGCTTTATCACTCTCTGATTTTTTCCTTTGAGACAGGGTCTCTCTCTAAACTTGGAGTTAGACTGGTAGCCAAAAAGCTCCAGAGATCATCCTGTCTTCACCCTCTACACTGCTGGGCTACAGGCAGGTGCAAAGATGCCAGTTTTTTGCATGGCTGTTGGGATTGATCTAAGGTCTTCATGGTTACACAGCAAGAGCTCTTACCCACTGAGCCATCTCTCTGGCTCTCAGATCACTTTTTAAAGAGGTCATTCATTACAGTTTAGAAACTGAATTGGAGAGATACAGGAGTGACTGTGAGGAGAGCAGCTGGGAAGTCCTTGTACTGTTAGTAAAAGGTGATAGTGGCGTGAGTAAGGGAGACAGTGGAGATGGAGTGGGTTGGCTTCAGACCTGTGTAGGAAGTGATATCAACTAGTGTTTAGTGATGCATTAGCTATAGTGGCAGAGGAGGAGGAAGAGATGCAGGATGACCTTGGAATTTTAGGCTTGACTTTTTTTTTTTTGTCTTTTTGAGACAGGGTCTCCCTGTAGCCCCAGCTGGCCTGGAACTTACTATGTAGACTGCGCTGGCCTGGAATTCACAGAGATCCACCTGCCTCTGCCTCCTGAGTGCTGGGATTAAAGGCGTGTGCCACTCCGCCCAGCTAAGCTTGACTTTTGTGAATGACCTTGGTGCCAAACATTGGGATGCTGAGTACTAAAAGGAAAGGTGGATACATGTAGAAACCATTAGCCTGTTTTTGACATGTTGATATTTAAAAATCCTTTGAGAGAGATGTGAGGTACTCACACAGGCACTCAGATCTGGAGAAGACCTCTGTGCTGAAGAGGTAGATTTTATGAATCACCTATCTAGAGGTGGTAAAGTTTTTAGGAATAATGAGATTTCCTAGGGAGAAAATATGGGAGAAAGATGGGGCCATTACCCAAGTGTTATGAATTAGCAGAAGAGCTTGCTAAAGAAAATGGGGCTGGAGAGATGACTCAGTGGTTAAGAACACTGGTTGTTCTTGCAGAAGACCCGGGTTCGATTCCCAGCATCCACATGGCAGCTAACAACTGTCTATAACTCCAGTTCCAGGGGATCTGACAGCCTCTTCTGTCCTCCGTGTGCATTGCACGACACGGGTGCACTTACCTACATGCAGGCAATACATGCATACACATAAAATAAAAATAATAAAATATTTTTTAAAAAAGAAACTGTAAGATAAGTTAACAAATATAACAGTAGAAGACTAGATCTGGACCGCTTGGGAAGGTCATATTTCAAGGATGAGGAGAGTCTCTGGTTTTGTGTAGGGTTGGCAGTTAAATATTAGGATCCATTGGATCTGTTGCAATTGGGGTAATTATTAAACTTAGCAGGGGTCATTACTGTGGAATAGTGAGAAGGCTGAAGGGATGTGTGAGAGGAAAGGAATAAGCACTGTATGAAAATAACTTTGAGAGGGACTGGAGTTTGTAAAGGCGAATTTCTGGGGACTGGAGAGAGGTGGCTCACTGGTTAAGAGCACTAGCTGCCCTTGCAGAGGACCTGGGTTTGATTCCCAGTGCCCACATGGTGGCTAACAGCTATCTGTAACTCCAGATCCAGGGGAATCCAGTGTTCTCTTCTGACTTCTATGGGCACTGCACCATATGGCTGCCCTTACCTACATGCAGGCAGTGCACTCATACACATAAAATGCAAATAAATAAATAAATAAATAAATAAATAAATAAATAAATAAAATATTTAAGAAAATAGCTTTGAGAATTGTATGGGAAAAGTAGAGAGTCTTCAGGGAAGGCAGGGTCCAGAAAGGGATTTGTGTGTGTGTGTGTGTGTGTGTGTGTGTGTGTGTGTGTGTGTGTGTGTGACATAAGTGTGTTTTAAAACTGATAAAATTGATTCCTGAGAAACAATGGTTGTATATCTAAGAGAAAGAAGGAATAAATAATTAGGGAAAAGATTTACAAATGATGTGGCACAATTCAATATGTAGATACTCTTAAAATTTATTGATTGGATTAGTTAAACTGTGAATTATTTTCTTCTTGATATACAAATTTTTGCATTAAGTTTTATGAGGACTGGGAAGCTGCCTAGGCATGTCAGATAGGCACCAATTGAATACGTAATATATTTTAATAATAATTCAAGTGTTTATCTCCTAATGTTTGCATTGAGGGGCTACTAATTGAGTGTCATGAGTTTTAACTGAACTCCATGGAAAAATAGTTCACTTTTAAGAAAGAATTTAGTAATAATCATTCAGGCATAAAAAGAGTGAAATTGAACCAAAAGGGGTGAGAAAAATGAAGTGTAATCCCTGTTGCTATGAACAAAATTTCATCTCTAAGGAAATATCATCCCATGTATGACACATCACCCTTCTACCTTCTGTTAACTGTACACAAAACAAGATATGTCAATTTATTTGTTGTATAGTGATACCTTTAAGGTAGTGATCTCTCAGCCTTATATTTCAGGCGATGGCTCTGATTTGAGAATTCCATCATGTCACATACGGGGTTAGATCTGTTAAATTAATGGCGTTGCCAACTTTGTTTGAACTTAACCTCCTTCAGTCTGATTTTCTTGTATATGGAATGTGGGAGGAATACAGCCATCTCAGAGGCTGCTGTGACTTTCATTGCATAACACATTCAAGATTCATCACAATATGCAGTCTACATTAAGAGACCAATGAGGGGCTGGAGATGTAACTCAGCTGTTACAGTGCTTGCCTGGCATGCATGAAACTCTGGGTTCAGTCTTCAGTGCCACATAAAGCAGACATGGTGACACTTGGGGATAATTCTAATACTTAAGAGATGGAGAAGGAAGGACTAGAAACTCAAGGTCATCTTCAACCACACAGAGAGTTTGAGACTAGCTTGGGATATGTGAGTCCCATCTACAAAACAAAACCCTATACAAACAAACAAACAAAACAGGAGGCTGATGTTAGTTCAGTTCATTTTGCTTTCTTCAGTAGGAAGAACAAAGATTCACAGTGCATAGTCACATTTTTTAAGTCACATGGTTAGTAATAAAAATGTAATTGGGAAAATGGTGTTTCCCCCCCTCAGATGGCTATTATAGTGTGTGTTTTAAATGGAGCCCTTCACTGAGAGGATTGTAAGCCATTTTCTCTTAAACATTATGATACATGTTTTAATGTTTCTTTAGCCCTTTCTGTAAACATTCCCCTTGTTTAATACTTACAATGGTCTTAGAGGGCTCTGGTCCCTCAGCAGCAAACAGTGGTTCACTTAGACTTGCATAGCCCAGGGTTTTCTGAAACTCGGTCAGGATCCAGGTGATACTGATGTGATCGACCCGAAGGTTACAAAGGTCTTGGGGGTTGAATATGAATCAGTGTGCGTCTTCTGTAGATTTGTTCCCATTCAAGCTCTTCGTGGTTTTAACCACCATCCTTTGACCTCCTCTTGTTCAGGTGACAGAAGGAAAACAGGACCTTGAAAGAGCCTCTCAGCTGTCCCGGAAGATGAAGAAAGAGGCTGCCATCCTCGCTGAATGGCTTTCTGCCACAGAAGCAGAGTTGGTGCAGAAGTCCACATCAGAGGGCGTGCTGGGGGACCTGGACATGGAAATCTCCTGGGCTAAAGTGAGAGGCAGTTCAGATGGACTGCTGGTGTCATGCCAGTGAAACCTGCGGCATTTGTTTGGGACAATCTGGGTGGATGCAGCTTCCCTCCATTTCACATTAAGTGTAGCTGCTCCTTTTCACAATTACTTCTTTTCCCCGTTTCTCTGTCCTAAAAAGAACTTTTAAAAAAAATGGTGGATTTGTTTGTTTTGTTTTGTTTTCAGATAAGATTTCTTTCAGTATCCCAGACTGGCTTTGACCTCACTATGTAGCCCAGGCTGGTTTCAAATTTGTCACAAGCCTCCTGCCCAGGCTTCCCAAATGCTGGGATTATTGGGCATGTAGCATTCAGTTATACAACCAGCCTTAATATTTTTTTTGTAAGTTAAAAATGTATTTATGATGATGATGTGTATGTGAGTGTGACTGTGTGAGTGTGACTATAGGCTCACACATGGCATGATCCTGATCCAGGTCAGAGGACAACTTAGTTGTACGAGTTGGTTCCCTCTTTCCACATTTATGTGGTTTATGGGCATCGAACTTGGGTTGCCTGGTTTGTACAGCAACCACCTTTACCTGCTGAGCCATGTTGCTAGCCCCCAGGTATAGCCCAGGCTGGCCTCAAACTTGTTGATCTTCCTGCCTCCACCTTTTCAACGTATCCTATCAGCATGTACCACCACAGTCATCTTAAATCTTTATTTACATCATAGGTCTCATTTTTCCACTGAATTCTTGATTTTTTAAATATTTACAAACACTATGTGTATCCAAATTTTAGTTTTATATATTTTTATTACCATATTAATATATGCCTTTTCTTGCTTTTTAAAAAATTGTTTTTATATTATGTAAAAGAGTATATTTCCTGTGTGTGTGTAAGTGCACCTGTGTCATGCAATGCCCACAGAGATCAGAAGAGGGCATTGTATCTCCTGGAACTGGAGTTATGGACAGTTGTTAGTCACCATGTGGGTGCTGGGAATCGAACCCAGGTCCTCTGCAAGAGTCGCCAGTGCTCTTAACCACTGAGCCATCTCTCTAGCCCCACCTTTTCTCTTTTGTACTAATTGCTTTTATGTAGCATGTAGGTTACATTGAATTTTGTATATTAATATTTGATCATCCATCTTCTATGCTCATATAAGTTCCATTTATTTTTGTTTTAAATATTATCCTTTTTTATAGACAGACTTTAATATTGATAAGTTTGTCTCTCGTGGAATTACATACTCTTGAATTTCCACTGAAGCCTATTACCAGTGTGAAGTAGTGAGGATGGAATATACAGAAGACATAGCACATTCTCTTCAGTGGAGTAAAATGAACCTCAGTGTGGAACATAACTGCCCAGTCAATGCTGCATTTCAGGTCTAAGGAACATAATATTTCACAACATTTCAGTGTTTCTGCACTTACATATTATGTGCAATATGTATTTTTAATTAATTTTAATGTGTGTGTGTTGTGTTGTTGTGTGTTGTGTATTGTGTATGTATGTATGTGCACAACTTGTATGCAATGCCTGCAGAGGCCAGAAGAGGGGATGCGATTCCCTGGAAACTGGAGGCAGTTGTGAGCTGCCTGATGTGGGTGCTAGGAACCAAACCCAGGTCCTCTGCACAGCAGTCAGTGCTCTTAACCAGTGAGCCATCTCTCCAGTCCCTGTGCAGTATTTTTAATTAAAGTTTAAATGGTATTTTTATTTGTGAACTTCAATAAGATTTTTATTTTCCAACTTAAATATGATTATTTTCAATGCATTTTATTATAAAATCCGTTAGGATTCTATATCTTTTATTTAAACTTAATTGCTTGTCCAGTTGTTTCTTATGGTTCTTAGAGCCAGTTCTAGTCAGTCAGTACATAACTACTGGAGGAGTGCAGAGTCTTAACTTCAGAGAACATGGCTATATGCTTTCCCCTACCCTGCCTTGGGTATAGAAGAAGACATGCAGGAAATATCTTAGTGCCTTCATGCATGTATCAGTAGTAACCCTTGATCCACTTGTGGGTCTGCCATTTGAATGCTTTCCAAAGTGTGACTTCAACAATGTTCACATGTGAACTTGAGTTCCTTGAAATTATTGGCTCAATGCTGGCTTAGAAAGGTGTAAAAGGTTAAAGAGATGGAATGTGCAGACCAAAGCTGGTTCTCCTCACTTACTTAAGATGTCATGCATGTATCAGTAGTAACCCTTGATCCACTTGTGGGTCTGCCATTTGAATGCTTTCCAAAGTGTGACTTCAACAATGTTCACATGTGAACTTGAGTTCCTTGAAATTATTGGCTCAATGCTGGCTTAGAAAGGTGTAAAAGGTTAAAGAGATGGAATGTGCAGACCAAAGCTGGTTCTCCTCACTTACTTAAGATGTAGTATTTTTCTTTTTTTTTTTTTTGAGACAAGGTCTTCCTGTAGTCCCAGCTGGCCCGGAACTTGCTATGTAGACCAGGCTAGCCTCAATCTCATAGTGATCTGCCTGCCTCTGCCTCCCAAGTTTTGGGGCTAGAGGTGTGCACCACCATGCCCACTACAGTATTTTTTTTTTTTTTTTGCAATATCAGCACAACAGATTATATGTTGTTACCCTACTGAATTTCCTACATCCTTCCATATTTGCTTAGGTGAGCATTTTCATTTTTATTAGGCTCCCGAGTGGTCTCTTTATGGTAGTAAGTTGAAGAGTTTCTTAAACCTTCACATATTGCAAATTATCTGGGACATTATAGACTGTTGCATTGGGGAAGAAAGTTTAGAAAAAATAGGATTAGGTAAATTGTAGAATATTCTGAAAGTCAAATGGGTCTTGGTGTTTTTATTTTCTAGAATATTCTGAAGGATCTGGAAAAGAGAAAAGCTGACTTAAATGTCATCACAGAGAGCAGTGCTTCTCTCCAACATCTGGTCTCGGGCAGTGAGTCTGTTTTAGAAGAGAAGCTGTGTGTCCTCAATGCTGGGTGGAGCCGAGTTCGTACCTGGACAGAGGATTGGTGCAATACCTTGCTGGTATGTTGCCAGAAAAATGGAATTATTTTTAAGGAGATAAGGCTTTCATTAGAATTCTAAGTCCTGTTTCCTATGTGTCCAGTTAAGTTTTGCTTGTGAATTAATTTCATTAGGGTATGTTTTATTTTTCTGTTGAAAAGGTAACAAGTAGAAAAAAATTATAGCTCCGTGAAAGTAAAATAAATGTTCATGTTAAACGTAGAAACAATATTACTTATTTTTTAATAAATACTTTATTTGCTTCATTTTCATGATATCACATAGTATTGAATTTTCATAGAAATATAAGCTATGCATACACATGCTAATATGTGTGTGGATGGATAGATAGGCAGATAGATGATAGATAGACTGCAGAAAATGATGGTACATGCACAATTTTTGGCCACTACCTCAGTGGAAGTTATTTTAAACCTCAGTTCTTCAGTTTCCTCATTTGTAAAATAAACATCATTATAATTTCTACCTTGTACAATTCTGTGACTTAAAGCATATAATAGTCTTCTATAACAATGTGTTAAACACCCATTGTGTTAAACAACCATTTTAAATATTTTTGTGACTATGCTCACTGTCAAACATTATATATATGTTAATCATTGACTTTGCCATTACATTGCCAAGTATTCATGGACATCTGACCACTGAATTTTCATAGTGTTTACTGACGCTCTTCTAATGATCAGCGTATGGTAATCCTGATCTCCAAAGTGAGAGTTATCACTGATAAATTACTATTTCATTCTAACATACCTGATAAGACTTTTACCGAACTCATAGAATTCCTAGGTAATGGGTAGAGACAGAAAAAAGCGCTTTTATTCAAATCAGGATATATAGGGCACAGAAGGTCATAGGCTTAGGTCTTGATCTGATATTTATTTTCTAGTTTATTATGCCCACAACTTTAAGTAAATTTTGTAATGTTACAACATATCAAAGGAAAGGTACTTAACGGAACCCGAACATGGAGATACACACATAATCTTAGCACTTAGCCTAAGACAGGGCTATCTGGATACCCAGGCTAACCTGCATAGTGAGTCCCTGTTTCAAACAAACCCTAAACAGGCATACAAATACCCTCTGAAATTCAGGCCTTGTGGCACAGACTTGTAATCCCAACAATTTGGGAGGCTGAGGCAGGAGGATCACACGTTCAAGGCTTGCCTGGGCTGCAGAATGAATTCAGGGCCAGCCCAAGCAACTTAGTAAGACTGTGCCTCAAATTAAAAAGTGAAAAGAGGGCTAGGGCTATATACTTAGTGGTATAGTGTTTGCCTGGCATTTATGATACCCTAGGTTTAATCTCCAGTATTTTTTTTTTTTAAGCCCTCCTAAAGCCTCCAAACCCCAAACCAGCCAACCAGCCAAATAGGATGACACTGATCATGAAAGAGGATCTTGTCTCATAGAATATGTTCTGACAGGCAGAATCATAGGCAATTCACGTTTTCATTATTCCTTTACATTATTATTTACTAAATTATGATAAATGAGTTTAGAAAGTATTGACTGAGGGGTGTGTGTGTGTGTGTGTGTGTGTGTGTGTGTGTGTGTATGTATGTAATGAAAATAGAAAGGAGCTGGGGGCTGGAGAGATGGCTCAGCGGTTAAGAACACTGACTGTTCTTGCAGAAGACCTGGGTTTGAATCCTAGCACCCACATGGCAGCTGACACTGTCCGTAATTCCAGTTCCAGGGGCTCCAACAGCCCTTTTCTGTCCTCCATGGGCATTGCATGACACAGGTGCACTTACATACATGTAGGCAATATACACATACACATAAAATAAAAATAATAAGGTATTTTAAAAAAAGGAACTAGAAAGGAGCTGTGAGGGGGAGAAGATCTAAGGGGAAGGAACGCAAGAGAGGTAACAAAATGGATGTGACATGAAAGCTGAAGGGGAGACTGTTTGGGGAGAGGAAGGGGACCAACAAGAAGTGGGGGAGGGAGGGGGGAAGGATAAATAGGAACAAAGCATGTGTGTATGAAAATGTCACAGTAAAACACAGTACTTTGTGTGGTAACTAAAAATAAGCTAAAAATATGATGGAAGGAGACAGATGAAGTTGGTTGTAATAGAAAAAAACGAATGAGACAAACTTGAAATGCAGTTGAAAAGGAAACTTTTGTCTTTTGTTTTATTTCCTCTGTCTATTGGGTGGAAGTATAAATCAAGTAAGTTTAAAAAGTGCATAGCCAAACCTGTGCATTTTTTAGGAAAGGGTTCTTCAGCACAGAAGTGCACCGCAGCAAGGTGGAGCCCCCTTCAAGAGTGACATGCAATGTGCTCTTTGGAGGCCTTTTAACCCTCTTCTAAGATGATCTTCTTAAGTATTTCGTATCATTGTGTCAGCATTCTGTTCATTCCTTTCTAGAACCATCAGAACCAACTGGAGATATTTGATGGACATGTTGCTCACATCAGTACCTGGCTTTATCAAGCCGAAGCACTATTGGATGAGATTGAAAAAAAGCCAGCGAGTAAACAGGAAGAAATTGTGAAGGTAGCCAACTGGAACTGGAGGGGGGTGTTTTGCTGGGGTCGTTCCCTCCCGCAGTGTGCTGAGTTCCTTATGTGCAGGTCTGTCATGCGTTGATTTAGTAACATTTATTTTGGTTGGGGAAATTGAGATCTCCCATGAATTTTCTATGAGGGGTGCTTCCTCTAACTGATGGTGGTAAAATCTCTTGCTAGGAATCCCAGATACTTATTTATGTATTTATTTATTTATAATTTTAAATTATTTTTATTTCATGTATTTTGCCTGTGTGTATGTAAGTGCACCCATGTCGTGCAATGCCTGTGGAGGCCAGAAGAGGGCATTGGATCCCCCTGGAACTGGAGTTAGGGACAGTTGTTAGCTGCCATATGGGTGCTGGAAATCGACCTCAGTGGCCAGTGTTCTTAACTGCTGAATCATCTCTCCAGCCCCCAGATATTTATTTAAACTATTTTTAATTCTGAATATAAGCATCGTGACCATGTTTGATTTTGATTTTTCCTTTCCACAATTAGCGTTTATTGTTTGAGCTGGATGATGCCAGCCTCCAGGTTGAGAATGTTCGTGAACAAGCCTTGGTTTTGCTGAACGCTCGTGGAAGTGCGGGCAGGGAGCTTGTAGAGCCGAAATTAGCAGAGCTGAACAGAAACTTTGAAAAGGTGTCTCAACACATCAAAAGTGCCCAAGTAAGTACTTACATTTTTATAGAAGATGATTTTCCCATGGATATGCCTGTAAATGATAGATAATATAGCACATAACATGTTACTTTTTAAATTAAAATGGATTTGAGCCACTTTTTTCATATTAATTGAATTTTTGCAAATTCATGTAATTTTTAAAATCATATTTAGAGTCCCTCGCCTATCTGCATCCCCAAAACCCCGTCTGATTTCATGTGCCTCTGTTTTATATATATATATTTAGTTATATCTAGTCAGACGTGTGCCCCCAAATGCCCTTCACTGTGACTCTATCCACTGGAGCCTGGTCAATCTGTCCTGCAACACACCCGTAAATAAACTGACTCACCCTCTCCCAGTAGCCACCAGTTACCAGTACTTCCTCAGCTAGGGCTGGGGCCTCCTCCTCACCTCTCCACTTACGTGCTTGGGATTCTGTCTGACTTGAGATTACATGGGTCTTGTGCATGCTGTCACCATTGCTGTGAGTTCATATGGATAACTGCCCAGCTGTCTGGAAAACTCGTGTTTCCTCGTGATCATCTGTCACCTCATGTTCTTACAATCTTTTTGAACCCTCTTCCATGATAATCCCTGAGCATTAGGAGGCAGAGGTTTGAACTAGCTGTCCTATTCAGGGATATATGCTCTGCTGCTTCTTGTCCTCTGCACGTTGGCCAGTTGTGGGTCTCTGTGTTAATCACTGTCTCTGCAGGAGGAAGCTTCTCTGGTGAGAATGAAAAGATGTATTAATTTATGGGTATGACAATAAGTCATTAGGAGTCAGTTTAATACAATGTCCCCTTAGCAGAATAATTATAGTAAGCTCTCCCCTATGGCCTGTGACCTGTCTAGCCACAGGTTCCTAGGCTTGATAATCCATGTCAGGTATGGGCACCATCTTGTGAGACAGACATTAAATCCAATCAAAAAGTGGTTGCTTACTCCCATAAAGCCCCATGCCAGGAATGGACTCTCTTTTGAAGCTCTTGGCCAGGGGTCCCATAGACTCTCGAACAATACTGGCTATTGCCCCTGCTCTTGTTTATCCACCAGAACTTTACAGTGTAACCCTATTGCTGAAGATACTACATATATGAGTGTAGAACAAACAAGGAGAAATCAAACTGGTATGGACCTTAAAGCTTCATCTACTCTGGCTAGTTTTCATAGTCCTGGAAAGTGCTATGCATGCTACCTGAAGAGAAAAATAATCATCAGTCTTGCCCAGCTGTGAATCCTATGAGCTATAACAACCGGCCTGGCAGGATATGCTCACTGGTGAAATAGTGGCACCAATGTTAATGGAGTAATATTATGATTATTCATTTATAGATCAAATAAAATGTTACTGTGGTGGAAAAATGCAGTTGGGAAAGATGTCTGCGAAATTATGTAACTAGCTCTCAAGCTAGTATGACTATCATATCCCTGATACTTTAAATATATGTGTCCATATTAAATGCACTTGTTTTGTATGTGTGTGTGTTTTAAATGTTGTCAGATTTTTAAAAGTTATATAAGTACATTACAATTTAGTTTCTAGAGAGATGTGTTTCTTGATTTAATAACTTCAAAAAATAGCTTTATTAATTAAAATGAAGAAAATAAACAAGTTTTTTCTTTGCAAAAAGATGTTTATAATACAATGATTCTTTTTCGAACTCTCTCTATATCTTTGCCCTTCTTTCTCTTTTCATCCTTACTTTATGACGGAAGGAAGTGAAACATCTTACTGTGGAATTTTCAAGGCCTGGCACACAGTAGGTGCATCGATAAATGTCAAGTAAAAAAGATGGAAACATTTTGATCATAAAAGATGTTTATAGTACAATGATTCTTTTTTGAACTCTCTCTATATCTTTCCCCTTCTTTCTCTTTTCATCCTTATTTTATGACGGAAGAAAGTGAAACATCTTACTGTGGAGTTTTCAAGGCCTGGCACACAGTAGGCGCATCAGTAAATGTCAAGTAAAAAAGATGGAAACATTTTGATCATTTAGAAAGACAAGACATCACTAATGCCAGTTATTCAATTCAGTTCATCTTGAGGAATCACAGGTTCCTGAGTGTTTAAGGATCTCAACTGTGCCCAAAAGATGCCTTTCCAAAAAAACCCCTTTTTAGTTAATTTAACTTTTTGAGAATTGTATATTGAATTTAACAAAGAGGAAAAGATTTTTTTGTTTGTTTGCGTACAGGAAAAGAGTTATTATCTAACCTTGCTTTGTCAGGTATGGTGGTCCAAATTTTCTTTCTATACCTAGGAACATATTGAGAGTATTGATGACTTTAAGAAAACAAGCACACATAGTAAAACCTTACTTTAGTTTTTGTCTTCCTTAACCTTGACTTTATGTCCTTACTTTCTCACTTCAGTTCATTTCATTCATTTTGGTAGATTCATAGGAGACTTTTATTGACTTAAAAAATAATGGATGGGGAGGTGGTAAGAGAAAGAACAATGAAATAAAAATGAACATCATCCCACCTAAAATCTTTACACATATTTTCTCATGCATATCTGTTTCTATTTATAGATAACTGACACTAAGTTATGAAAATTTTTATGGCATTTTGTGTATGCGCCTTTGAAATGGATTTTAGTGATAGTATTCTATTATTTGGTCCATTATATTTTCATAAGTTAATTCTATTAATGCTGAGCATTTATGATATTGTATTTATTAAAATGATCTTATGTGTGTCTACTGGCTTATATACTACTATACTACTAGTATCAATTTTTAGAATTTTTTGAAATTGTTGCACAAATTGTACAAAGGCTGTTACATAGATTTTCTGCATCAGCCAATAGAAAACTGTGTAGTTTATACTTCTATTGACGAGATGCGAGAGTGTGTTTCCTCATTCTCAGCTAATGCTGGATGTTATTTCTCACTTTTAATTTTATTAGAATTATTATCCTGACTTTCAGTTTCCCAAGCATGAAGTTTTTCTGTATAGACATATGAAAATGTTTGCATTTAGAAATACTGTCTTTGAGGATTTGGTATCAAAATTTCAAGGGGAATTCTTCTAGGGGGACATGTCCAGGAGGCCTTCTTTGGGGTGTTCTTGCACTGACTGGGGGTGGCATCTTTCCTTCCATGACTGTGGTGGGGTGGCTTTGGATCATGGCCTTGTTTCCTGTAGGGTTCACATGCAACCTTCGAGCCTGCCATACCACACTCCAAGCAACCACAGTAAAATGTGCATACCTTACATTCTGGTTTAAGGTTGAAAAACAAATACTTTTTA